AAAAATATTTAAAAAAAACAAAAATCATGAGACATATATCACTCAATGTAATCTATTATATACTAATATTAGGGATAATTACATACATAGCACCCAAAACACTGCTACTTACAAAATCTAGCAACCATATGATATTTCCAAACTATTGAACCAATGTATTTACCCGTCCCACAATCAAATCATTGAGAAATTGATAAAAATGAAAAAAATGGGTTTGGGGTTCTATCATGATTTTTTATGATTGAGTGAGAATTTGAAAATTGGATGAAAGAGGGTTCGTGTTTTGTAAATAGCAATGTTTCGGGTACTATGTATGTAAAATGTTGTTTTGGAAAGTTGTTAGCAAACATTAGTAGGTAGTATTGGAAGGGAATATACAAGTGAATAAGGAACACAGACAACATACATTGCTCCTGGGATGGATAATTAATGAAGACAGATTTAAATAAATGCCATGCAAAACCTATGTATTTACATGTCTAACACCCATACTTCAATTTTTGTATATACAACATCTTACATATGCATAAAAAGATGTATTTCATTTATAAAAAAATGAGGTTTTTTTATGTGATATAGAAGATTTTGTTGGTATAAATATAAAAGGCAAAATTATAAGTGTTAGATTCTTAAATACATAAGAATGGTTGGTATGTATGTAAATACCCCATTTTTCAGGCAACTACTGAATGATTCAAGAAAAATTAAAAAAAAAAATTCTGAAATTTTCAAAAATAGTTTGCATAAAATCCTAATTTTGCCCTCCGTCCCCTATCTCAGTATCTTTAATTGTAAGCATCCCTTGCTAGATTTTAGCAGAACAGTACAGTTTTATTCACGTTGCTCCAAGTACCTTACATAAAAAGGTTAGAAATTGTCTTGCGTGAACTATAATGGCCGCGGATAGCAAGTTCTTTGTCAAGGTTTCAATCTTTCTTTCTTTGCAAAGAGGAATTAATTTATTTCCAAATTTGGCAACAAGCATGAGTGAGAGAGGGATTGATGCCGCGACATTTAGGGCTGTAAACGAGCCGAGCTTAAGAGAGTTGAGCCTCGGCTCGTATTCGAAATGGCTCGTGAACAATGTGTTCGTGCTCGGTTCGAATAACATATTCACATTCATGTTCGGCTCAAAGTAGGCTCGGGACGGCGGAATAACACCAACAACACAGCGATGACATCCGAGGTACACTGTGGACGGTGGAATAATATCAAGGGTGTGACTCAGTGTACTTGACACAAACACAAACTTGTTCTGCTAATGCCCCTCGCAATGTCATTCAATATGAATTGCATCAATCAGCTCATAAGGATTCCTTCGAGAGACTTAACCCAACTTCATTCCCGCCGCAATTGTTGAGAGTAGTCACCTCTAGTTGATGATACCCAATACCCTATTTAAATGAGGTTCAAGCTTTCAGTCGTAAACTTCAATGATGAAGCACCAATATGTGTTTATGGAACAATTGATGACTTCACGAAAATTAAAGAAGCTAAAAAGCTGAAAAACATTACCAAATGAAGCCTAGTTTTTGAGTTTCCACGTTAATAACCAATATTGTTTAAGAGAACTGTGGATTTCCATGCAAGTAAAACATCAAAAATATACTATGCTGAAAAAAGAGGTAGAAAAGATTTTAGCTAAGACATCAGCCACACCATGGTACCCATGAAACAACTACTACTCTCCACCAGAAAAAGCCATCCTATTCAAATGTACAATATAAAGACTTAATTGGTATCCTAAAACTCTAATCTTCTCCTGTGATTTCAGTAAACAAATGGAGAGAATCATATTATTAGCTTCTGTGAGAGACTATTGACCATTTTAGAAAACCCAAAAGCATTATATAACAAAACTAATATAAGTTAGAAAAAGGATCATGCCTTTCAGAAGTGGTATTCAACAAATTATAACGATGTCAACAAAATATTTACGCTTCAATCTTCTGGAGATTAGAGAAGGGAGAATTCTGGAGATTAGAGAAGGGAGAAAACTAATCATTAATCCAAAGTTATGACTTATAAATTCATAAATCACAATTTAATATTGTTATTATTACTATCGATAGAAAAGCATATGTACAATGATCTAGCAAATGAAATTTTGTTGTTGTCTTCAAGGCTACTATTCCCCAACTATTTTTTCCTGTTATAAAATTAGCCAATAGGATTATGAATCTCTTATTAAAGTCTTAAACGAAATTATTAGGCATAAACACTAAGCAAAAACGATGCATGTCTCAAACATAAGAACAAATTTTTCTCATACTAGCTTACATCCATCCTTTGGTCCTTGATTAACCAATCTCAATCCAACCATTACTATTACAACTTCCTTTGGAACAATTTTCTTTAGGATGCCCGAAAGAAAAAAGAAAATGGGGCAACATAATAACTAAAAAGATTTGCAATGGACCTCAGCAGCCTAGGGAATGTCCTTTGACAAAGGCATCTAAAACTATCATGCACAACAAGAAGGGTAAGGAAAACTAATAGAGTCAATTTACCTATGTGGCAAGCATATCTTAACTTTAGAGTTGTTCACCCTGTAATTCTATCCAGCCAAGATATCCATTCATATGATAAACCATAATATAGGTTTCTAGTGTTTCGAGAAACTGGGGTATTCAAAAGTTTTCATCAGCCAAACAGAGAATCTCTCCTGGTGCATATCGTAACCTCCTATTTCTAAGGCAATAAGAGCATTAATGGACAAAAATTGAAAAAACACATGTTTGAAATAACAAAATCAAGATTGTTCGAAATAACGAAACATGAAGTCTTTTCGAGCTAACATAACAACACCTCTACAAATAAGGATAATAACTCAAAAACATCCCTCAACAAATTCGCGTTTGTATAACATGTATGTTTGAGCCTTTTAGAAAGCCCCATTCTATTTATGCTACTTTTTTGCCTTGTTTTCCCTCTTACCTATTCAAAAAACTACGATTTGCTCAAGGTTTGGCCATCCAAGAAAGTAATCTGATAATGTTGAAAACATCTACTAAAATCTCCCTATTAAATTCTTCTTAAGAAAAAAATCCTCTTTCAATTGAGAACTAGAATAAAAAGCTTGATTAAAAAAGGAGGGTTACTCTAGTAAGGAAAAAAAAAAGAACGTCCATCTTGCATGATTAGAAAAATATTTGAAAAGTATGTAATGTTTCTAATCATACACATCATCAATGGGTCATTGAATTGAGTAATTAGGAAAATATTTAAGTATGTAAACTTTCCAATCATACACATCATCAATGGGTCATTGGATTGAGTTCATGAAATTTTGCATTCTAGATCATGGAAAATAAATATCTCACTAAAGCATCTGTAAGATCATTCATGTGCATAATGTCCAAACAGTTGATTGAGGATCAATGGCTAGAAGCATTATGCAAATTGAATAGCTTTTTTATCACCTTTTAGAAAGTAAACATATAAGGAAAACACTTTTCTTTTAAACTTTGTCTCAACTAAAGAATAGATAAAAAAAATTGAAAAACAGTTCCCCACCAATGGTAAAAAAATTGATTCAAGACCAACAATCAAGAATGAAAAACTAAAATCATGTGAGCAGTTCAATGAGGGAAAAGAGCATGATTTCAGATCATGAGATACGCTAGGAAGGGTCTTCACATCCTTGCATCAATTGACTTACTCATAACTGATTAAGGGGAAATTAGTTGACTAATTTCACTCGGCCTCTTTTCCTTCCATTCCTGATAGCCTTGTTTCATATAGATAGATGGAACAATTAGAACATCAACACCATTATCCCTTTATTCCATCAACAAACCCCTATACTAAAACTTGGGAAAGAGGAAAATCACACACTCCAACCAAAGTAAAGTGTTTACCGCAAATCAATTAGTATAGCAAACATAAAATTAAAACATTTGATTTAACAGAAAATGCCCATTTTGTACCTCGCTCTAAAGTATGTTTTTCTTTTTTAAAGACTAAAGGGAGTGTTTGGCTGCATGCAGGATTTAGAGTTAGCAGGATTTAGTAAGTCCTTATTTATTAAATCCACTGCCTCGCTGCACTTACTAAATTCGGACTTAAGATGAATCAAAGGCAAAATTCGGACTTAAGATGAATCAAAGGCAAAATACGGACCATTAATCCAAAACTTCAAAATCTATGGAACTTGCACATTTTTTATAATTGGCTAGATTTCATAAATCCGGCAATAAATATCATTAATAGACACTACCAAACACCTCCTAAGCTTCTATTGCTTATGGAAAATGTTGAAGTCACCAATTATGAGTTAAGCTAACAAAACCACCCCAATCTTACTATGAATCTTCTACTTTCTTTTTCCTAACCAAGTCATCTCAGTTCAGGCAAATTTTCGTAAACAACATTTTTACTCTTCAATTATGTGCTCATGTGAATTTTCATTTTCAATTCATTATGAGGAGGTTGCATTCCGATAACCCCTTGCTTTTCATCTGGATTTTTAATATCTTGGACATGCTTTTTATCAGGCTCAACAAGTTCAATTTGGCAAGAAAAAAATCTTGTTTCCTAATTGAATGGATCTCTATGACATCGGCATAAAATAGGAAGACATCCATGGAATTGACAACTCTAATAAAAGAATTTAGGGAACTATTAGTTTTCTATCCTACAGAATTTCAACAAAAATTTCCTTGAAGAACAAGATCTATGAAATGGAGCACCTAACAACTAAAAAAACTACTCTACTTGATTTTCCCCAACCAACTCTCACTATGTTGCAAAAAGTATCCTATATGTGTATAATCTTCCTATAGCAAATTCGTGAATTGACCAATTAATGGATATGAATGCCATCTGACAATAACTCAAATAACAGTAAACTTACAAAAATTAAAATAAGATTTGATAATTTAAGGGTGTGGTCTTCCCAAAAATTATAATCAAATAAACATCCGCAAATAAATTTAACAAGAAAAATCGCAACAAATCACAAAATTGATACAAAACAAAAGGATAAAATGAAATGGGACTTAAAAACAAATGTCGCAAACCAAATTGTTAATAAATGTAGACAAAATCGTACTTAGGCAACAAACCCAACAGAAGGCCCATTGTCCACAGAAATAGTAAACAAAAAACAAAATATGACGACAAAAACGCTTCAAAATCTTTTACTCAGACAAAAAACTGCTAAGCTCTAAAAGATTAAAAACAGTAAGCGCTGATCAATCCCTGCATCCATACAGCATTTTAATTTGCGAAGGCAATGAAAACTAAATGCTGCCAAATCAATCTCCTTTGCGCCTGAAGGAGCAGCCCTCGGTAAGCCTCGCCTTCCCTCCAGTTGGCTGGCACAACACAGACTGGCAGTTCCCACAAACAACAACAGTCTGGGAGTGGCTAAAAACAGTGGTTCTGCAACAAAAACAAACAAGAAAGTAAACAAGAGATCAGAATTTTAGATTAAAAAAGAAATCAGAAGTCACCAAACTACAAACTAAGAACAAATAACGCTGACAGTAATTGCCACTATCTTACATGTTGAAGCAGCCTTGGCACTTGACATCCTTCAAGTAAGAAAAAAAAAAGAGTTATTAAGGTTCAAAAAACAAACCAAACAACAACCAATACTAATATCTTGCAAAACTAAAATATTTTTGTTTCATAAAAAAGGGGGAAAAAACCAATAACTGTAAAACAAAGCTTTTAAATTTACCATAAAAAAAGAGTTGGGAGACTGCACAAGCCGCTTAAGCTTATGTTTCCTCTTTTCAAGCTCTGCTGGCGGATTCAGCAGATCAATATCGTTTTGAAGAACCTGCAGATGCAGGCAGCAAACCATGTGAATATAGGAACCAAAAAAAGTAAGTGAAGAATGAAACTTTTATGAACCATATACATACATACGGAGAACATGGGCACAATAAAATCAAAAGTTCATAAATCAAAACAATAGCATAAAAAGGAATACAACGTCCTCCGATTCAAAAGAAACGCCCAAAATCCACAGAAAATATTCACACTCGATCAGCCGATCAACCTCATCCAAAACATCTGACGGCCAAAATAAATTTGAAAAAGTAATAACAGAATCATTGACATAGAATAGAGAAAAGGCATCGTCTCCATCAAGTATTGAATTCAAATCTCACCATTTTGGCAAATAAGAAAGATCTCAGAAACCCTAAATCGCTTCGGCCGCGACTTCGACGGCAGCGAGAGGCATCGAGAAGTAAGAATTTCGATTAGAGGGGTTATTATATCAGGAGGTGAAGTCATCCCAACCGTTCGAAAGGAAATCCGCCCATGCTTCGCTACCCAGCCGGGTCGGTCCGATTAGAATGGCTGTCGTGGTGTAAATTAGGCTCGCTCGTGTTCGATTTTTTTAAATTTCGAGCTCAAAAAGTATGTTCATGTTTGGTTCGTTTGCTTAGCGAGTCGAGCACGAATCATTCAAGAACAAAGAGTTGTTTTGACAACTCTGATCATGTATCCATAAGATGTTAAGAATTAGGACAAGATTTCAAACATCAGTTGAATTTAATTTAATAATTTTTATTCTATTTTCTTAATTAATATTTTTAATTGATTATAAATCTTTGTAGCCTTATAGTCAATTACATTTTTTTTAAAATACTACTTATTATATATATAATTGAATAGTAGTATTTCGAGCCAAAAGAGTCGAACATAAACGAACAAATATTTGTTCGTATTATTCGTGTTCGACTCATTAACTTAGCGAACGAGTCCAACACGAATTTCTTAACGAGCGAAACACAATTTATTCATGAACAACGAGCCCTTTTGATAGCCCTAGCTGCCTGCGAAAAAAAAGAAATTTTGCAGGTTCGGCCCGTACTCGCTTATTCAAAGTCCGGCAATTATATCTGGCCCGCCCATATAAAACCCGGCCCGAACCCAAAAAAAATAAAAATTTACTTCGTGATTCGTCGCTAGGCTGCTTTGCAATTCGCAATCCCTCCCTGTTCTCCTCCAGAACCCGAAGACCTAGCCTGTCGAAAAAGCGCTTGCTGCTGCCTCTTCTTCCTTCTCTCGAGAGCGAAGACTCGAACGACGGCAGAGGACACCGGTGCTCCGCATCCCCGATCTGCTCTGCCAGCTCGACTGCTCGCCCTTTGTATATCATTCCCTGTTCTCCCAAACCGGAAGACCGGAGACGTAACCCTCAAAATTTATCACTGCCTCTTCTTCCTCCTCTCGAACAACGGCACTTGCGCTACATATTCACCTCTTTTCGGTCATTCGGCGTGCTCCTCCACCTCATTATGGAGGTTCCAAGTTTTGTGAGTGAAGTCCCTATTTCTGACTTCTAAATTTCGAAAAATTAATATAGTCTGTGAGGCAAATAATTTTATTGTGTTATACAAATATTTTGAAGATTTTCTGCTATACAATTGTAACTTTCTCGGAAAATATTTGAGATTTTCTTCCAAAAATGTGCCCATAAAAGATTTTTCCTCCAAAAAAGTGCCTATAAATGTATGCACTGTGTTTCTTTGTATGTGTTTTGATATTGAATGTGTAAGAGGTTGTATTATCTATATATTTATCATTTGTTCTCGGTATGAAATGGAAACTTCACCTCATTTCAGCTCATGCTTCAAGTTGAGGAATTTACGTGCCTACAACACAATTCTTATGCTGTATTGGTGCATGTACCTAATAGTTAAACCTTAGAAAATATTTTTGAAATACTTTTGTGTCGTAAAGTTTTGCATGAAAAGTGGTTTTCTTTTTAAGTCTCGTGGATGTTGTGTAGATAAGAATGCTAATATTTCTTTATGATTTATACAATTTTATGGATGAGATTGCACTTTAAGAAATATATTTTTATATTTTTATTGCAGATACAACAGGCAATAGAAGTGAGGAAACCTGGAGGGGACTTGGAGCAAAGGAGCTTAATTGCGGACTAGTGCCTAGGCGCTAGTCCCTCACCCGAAAAACTTGCACGTGACGCCGCGTCTAGGCGCCAAATACTAGGGTGGCGCGATACTAGAGCCCAGGCGCCCATGCCTTCTTTAGCGAACAAATAGACTGGCGCATAGGTGTTAGTAATTGCCTGGAACAGTTTTGGCAGTTCGGGAAACCTGTCGCAGAGAATTGTGGGGGAGTTACTTAGGAGGTTGTGGAGTGATTTTTTTGCTAAGTAATAGAGCCTATATATGTGTATGTATTAGGGACTTAAGAGGATTGATGAATGGGGGTTGCCAAGATTGTTGAATGTGGAGAGATTGATGAATTGTGAGGGTTGGCTTGTTGTAGAATCCTTCTTCCTCTTCTAGTGGAGAGGAGAGGGAGAGGCTTCAAGAGCAGCAGCCCAAATTCAGAAGGAGCCTTGGTTAAGCATCTTCAGGCCATTGTAAAGGAGAGGAAGATAATTCTCATTTGTCTTTATTGATGTATTTTATTTGTAAACATTTGGATAGTGGATTTCTCTTATTTCAATTAATTTGTGTGGTGTTTTTCCCATACTTCTTGAGTAGATTTTTTTATCTTACCTTATTATAATTAAGTAGGATGTATAGGACCGGAAAGTGCTTTTAAATTACTTTTAATTATTCAATGTGATGATTAAGCTTCAGATCTTCATTTACTTTTCATTCTGGACATGTGAAATGATAAAATATGTTGTGAACCATAATAACTCGGGAATGCTATGGTAGAATCAACTATGGTAGAAAAGTGTTGCTCCTATTTGTAAATAGTCTATTTTATAATTTGCACTTTACAATTTCTATACTCCACTTACATCATTACAAGGGAGGGTATTTCTAGAACCTGATATTCATCAATTCAAACCAGTTTAAATAGGATTTCTATTAGATTTATACTTTACAATTGCTTTAAATACTTTAGGATTACTTTGTAGGACTCTAAACAGTTTTAACTTTTCAGGCTAGGACATAAAACCAGCAGGCTGGAACTTTTTCTGTTTTGGAATCACCTCGTTCTCCGTGGGATCGACATACCAGACTCTAAAATTTGATATTAATGATATGACATGTGCACTTGCATGAGCCCCAGTATGTAGTAGCACCTAGAATCGGTATCAAGTTTTTGGCGTCGTTGTTGGGAATCGAGGTGATTTAATTTAGGAGAATTTTTGTTGAACTTTGAGGTCTTAGACTTAGAAAACCTATAGTGTTAATTTCTTGTGTTTAATTGTTTTTACTGTTTTTGAAAAACCAAAGTAAAATTAAAAACATTTTTGTTTGACTCTGTGTGAACTATTAGGGATCTCTAGTTTGTTTGTGCATAGTGCAGGGCCTACGGGACTTACACCATACGATTCTGGGTTTGTGAGAACTATTAGAAAATTTTGAAAATAAAAGATACTTGAACAACTCGTAGGAGAGATGGCGAATAATATACAAAACAACCCACAAATTTAGAATCGACCCTTAAGAGACTATGCTAACCCTACGACAGATGAAATTAATTTAGTATCCGAACCTATGTCGTAGAAGCTAATACAATCGAACTGAAACTTGTTATCATCCAAATGGTACAGAACAACCAATTTGGGGGAACCTCGTCTAAGGATCCAAAATTACATTTAGCGAGTTTCTTAGAAGTTTGTGCCACATTTTGCTTTAATGGTGTTTCCAACAACTTTGTTAAGCATAGGCTTTCCCTTTTCTCCTTGAGAAACAAAGCCAAAATATGGTTAAACTCATTAGCACCTGGATCTATACGGACGTGGAATGGCTTAGCCCAGAAATTCCTAGCTAAATATTTCTCACCTTCATAAACGACTAAAGTTGGGAGTGATATCACTTCATTTTGTCAGCATGAAGGTGAGTCGATTTATGAAACTTGGGAACTCAAATAACTTCTTAGGAAGTGCCCCCATCATGTAAGTTGGCAAAGTGCGCTAAAAAGAGACTTCTGAACTCATTGAATGACAGAAAAGATTTCATATGGAAGGTCGCTGAACCACCAAAGAGCAGCCTCCTCAACGTGGTCAGGAAAAGCAGACACTTCATTGCATCATTGATTGTAAGACTCCAACCGATGATTCGAAACAAGCCACGTGGTCAGTAAAGTCACTCTTCCCCTGGTAGGATTCCAAATGGGGAATACTCAGTTTTGTCGAGGTTGTAGTTTCCAAGATCCAACGGGAGAAAGATATGTTTGTAGTCAACCAAGCGGACGCACCTGCTTTATCCACCTGGTGCCTAACAATCAGTGTAGACACCGCAGTGTCTGCGAGCTGGGACTTTTTAGCGCAGTGTTTGTAGTCGACCAATCGAACGGCTAGTTCAGGCCATGCTTATTCGGCCTGTCACTTCGATTGTCCGGTCGTCGTCCTTGCCCGACTTATTGCTTTAAGATTCGTGCTAATAATTTGGCATAATACAATATGATTTGTAGTTCTTAGAACGAGCAATAATCATTATTTTATAAGAGATTTGAGGTTTAAATTATCCTAAAAAACATTTTATTTATACGTAGAATGCATCTAATGCCCGATCTTGGACGCAATAGGCCCACTAACATACAGATGTTGTTAGTCTTCCAGTTGAGCACAACTCTAACACGTAGAAGCAAAAATAATTCATGTGTTGTAGATTGATATCCACTGGTAAAAACTAAAGTAATTCCTTTGTGTTGTAGATTAATCAAAAGTTCTGGATGCAGGATTTAGCTTTTGTATGATTCAGTAAATTCAAATTTATTACATCCAAAGAAACGCCGAAAATTCACAGAAAAATATTCACTTTCAACTCTTAGTTGCACTTTTATTTAACTTCTAAAGAATATCATATTTTATATTAAACAAACGAAACCATCTTTCGATAATTTTAGCCCAAAAGAAAAGAAGTTGGAGAAATAAGCCTTCAATTTATATTATTTGTGAAGCAAATTGGCTCTAATCTTTTTCAGGACTTTTTTTTATTTTCTTCTCAAACATTTCATATAAACTTAAACTAAATGACATTAATTATAAGAATAAAATTTTAATTGTCAATAGTGTGCCAATTATAGAGGAATTAAGTTGATGTGTCATTTTTTAAAATTATGGGAGTGAGGAATTGAACATAGGTTAAGACGTATTACTAAGATTTCTCATAATCACTTTGGAATTATGTCGGGCTATACATTTATTGAGAAATTTGATGGAGAAATTAAGAAATAATAGGAGGATCTACATATGATTTAGAAAAAGTTTACGATAAAGTTTCAAGAGATATCCTTTGGAGAGTTCTTAAGAAGAAAAGTGTTGATATGACTTATAATCAAGTCATTAAAGATATGTATAGAATTGTTACTTCTGTTCGAACGGAAGGAGGATTGACCAAATATTTTCCTATTTCTGTTGGTTTACATCAGTGATAAGCTTTAAGCCCGTATCTTTTTGCTTTAGTTATGGATGGTCTTACTAGACACATACACCAGGATGTACCTTGGTGTATGTTTTTTGCTGATGATATCCTGCTCGTGGATAAGACGAGAGAAAAAGCTCAGGAAAAACTTGAATTATGGAGGTTTATGGAGGTCTACCTTGGAGTTTAAAGGCCTTCGTTTGAGTAGAACTAAAACTAAATACAAGGAATGTAATTTTAGTAGTAATAGCTCTAGTGAAATAAATGTAACTTTGGATGATCAAATTATTAAAAGGTGTAAACGCTTTAGATATCTCGGGTTTATTGTTCAAAGTGATGGTAATATTGATGGGGATGTTATTAGTAGAATTCAAGTTGGTTGGTTGGAGTGGAGAAATGCTTCGGGCCTTTTGTGTGATAGAAGAGTATCGCTTAGACAATGGAAAATTTTATAAGATGGTTATGAGACCTGCAATGCTGTATGACGTTGAATGTTGGTTTTTAAAAGAGAGGCATAAAACTAATTGTTGACGATATGAGAATGATTAGGTGGATAAGTGGCTTTACACTAGGCAAAATGCAAAATGAATAAATTCGTGATAGGGTTGGTGTAGCTCTAGTGACATACAAAATTAGTGAGTCGTCTTAGATTCTTTGGTTGCATTAAAATTCGATCATCTGATGATCTGATTAGTAGAATAGATGTTTTAGATTTGACTTTTGTTAAGAAAGGCAGAGGTAGACTTAGGAAAACTTGAGGATATTGTATAAAAAATTGATCTTAATTTATTAGAATTAAATGAAAATATGACACTAAATAGAACGCAATGGAGAAAAATGATTCATATAGCCGACCCCACTTAGTGAGATAATTTTTTTGTTGTTGTATCAATAATTACATGCACACATACTTTTTATTATAAAATACAATTTTATATATCACAGCCCTGAATTCTTCCTCGTGATGTATAATAACATAAGACGAGAATTATTAAATATTTTAAAAAATGAAATAAAATTTTAATTAATAAAGATTAAATACAGCCAGTTTAAAGCTACTCCTCTGCACCCTGCAATTGATCTACTGTGACATAAAAGTTACAGAATAATTTATCATTCAATTCCATTTATATACTTCAATTTAATACATATAGTTCTATTACAAAACTAAGTTGAAATTAACCATTAAAACACAACATTGTTCGTCAGTTCACGTCATTCATCTAATGCTTTTATCATATAAAACAAATCTCTTAACTTCTAACTGTATCATGCCAACCCAATTTTCATAATCATTACTATCAAACAAAATTTATAGATGGAATATATCCCTGGTGATATGGTTGGTATGACTCCGCTGGCATACAAGATTAGAGAGAGTCGACTTAGATGATTTGGTCACATTAAACGTTAATCATCTGATGATCCGGTTAAGATAGTAGATGTCTTAGATTCGACTTATGTTAAAAAAGACTCAATAGGAAAAGACTCACGTAACCCACCACACTTAGCGGGATAAAGGCTTGTTGTTGTTGTCGTACTACCAAATAAAATTTAAAACAAAAAATAAAATTAAACAAAAGAAACATTTAGACTAAGCAAACTACAAGCTTAATAATCAATCCCTGTTCAAAAGAAGCCAAAGATACCATAAAGCATAGTTGTATATAAGATTCATTAAGTTCATAAGCATACAAGTGCGCTGCTACAGACCTCACCTGAATTATACTTGGCAATTATACTTTGTGTGACCAAACCTACCACATTTAATGCACTTAAACTTTGAAGAAGAACTAAGGCCATTCGAACAATTTCCTTCACCTCCAAATCTCGGGCATCTCTTGTGCTTCGAGCTGCTGGAATCTGGGCTATCGTCCCTTAGGCTGAGCCTTTTAACCGGCGAAATTTGTAAGAATGAGTCTCTTTGATCCTGCAGTAATGGCCGAACTGGAGCGACTGTATCACGTGTTTCGTAAATGGTTTTGCGAGCTTGTTTGCTATCAGGGGTGGGTGGATAAGGCTTTTCAAGCGAATAATCATAGTTCTCGTGCTCAATTTTGCCGGCTTTTGTCGTGCTCTCGAACAGTTGTAGATGATTAAAGGCTCCCTCCTTACTCTGCCATGTTGATAACAGATGTAAGATAAAGTATCATTGTACATAACACACGATTCTTATATATTTACATATCTCTAAACTTTCATATTTACATCTATACATATATAACACTATGGTGTTTTAAATCTAAGCATGAAAAGGTGTATTATTTCAATTAAAGATTTGAGTGTTATATGTGTAGAAAGGAAAGTTCAGATGTTAGATATGTAAATGCATAAGAATTGTGTGCTATGTATATAAATGCCCCATGATTTCAATTCTAGTTTTACTAAAATTACTGGAGCACTTTCAAGCCAAAATTTCTGCTCTTCTAAACAACAGCAGATCATCTAGAATGTTATATTTGGAAAGGACTATGAAAGATAACTAATTAAATAGTGTAAATACGAAAGGATTAGAAGTTTCAAAGATTAATGTATTTAGAAGAAAGGTTTACAAAATGGTTAACAGTGGGTAGTAAGCAAAGTAAAAGCTTTAGGGTCCATCTGGGATCAATTTCAATTTTTGTTTTAATTTTTTTATAAACCAGGCCAAACCGTCCAAAAAGAAACCAATAAATAGTTATTTTTTTTTGAAAAAAATGTATTGTGACTATAGATGTAAATGTTAGATCACTATGGTATTTTGGTCAACAATATTTCTAATTAAATCTATTATTTTTAGTTAAAAGTGTGTTTAATGGAAAACAAAATTGACACTGGGTAACTTGTATGTCAATCGAGCTAAAAAACTGCAACTGAGGATTTGATTTTAAGAAAGTAGTTGTAAATTAGTGGTGGAGAAAATAACTTCTTAGAAAGCTGCAGCGAAAATTATAAATATATAGTTTTTCTAAAAAAATTAAACAACAATTTTCATACAAGCACGCACTTTAACATGGGTTGAAAAGTAGCTTTACACTACATAAAATTATAGAAAGCAACAAGAAAATAATTCCTCAAACGAAGTTTTAGCAGCGACCTGAAACTTAAAACAGACAGAAAACTGTCCCAAACAGACCTTAGAAGCTTCCTAACTATCATATATTAATTTATTTGCCCACAAACACCAATAAAGTTCACAGTTTATGTATTTCTTACAATAAATGATACTAGGAAATGTTTCCAACAATCTGGTTAATCTTCAACCTCAAACTTTTCCTAGTATATTAATATATTCATACACATTAACCGTTAAACTTGAACACTAATTCATTTACTTAGATCAAAGATTTTTGCTAATCATTATGAAAAATCCAAAAATACTAAGGGGCCATAGGGGATCACTTTTTTTAATTTGATTATTTTATGTTTGATTTGCAGAAAAATAAGTTTTGTAATTTAAAATAAAATAAGTTTATATTTTAAAAGATTCAAAACATCAAAAAATTATTATGATTTTTTTTTAATAAGCTAAATTATTTTTTAAAATAAAAAATAAAAACATATAAAAAACACTAAATAGACACACTTTATAAATAAAAGGAAATCCACAAAAAAATAAAGACTAGTTTGGGATCACTTTTGCTTTTTTCATTATTTATTTCTCGAGGATTGACATGATATCAGAGTCTTTTCCCTTTGCTTTCATTTCATTAAATAATAATCTTACAATCTATTTTAGGTACAAAATATTTTGTATAATTTATTTTAGCTAACTAATAATGCATATTCAAAATATTTTGTATAATTTATTTTAGCTAACTTAATAATGCATATTCATAATCTAAATATTCAGCTAACAGGAAAATAAATCAAAATAAAGAAATTGGAATTAATTTAAATAAGAAAGCTCCTAATTATTAAAAAAAAAAAAACTGCTAATGTAACTGTCTGATTTCCGTCTTTCCTGATTTACAAACATTCCCATAAAGAAAATCCAAAATTGAATAGCACTTCCACCCAGTAAAACTACTAAATCATTCTATTTATACATTTAAAAACCTTATAGATGATCACTTAATATTAATTGCCTCACAAATATAGTTTGTACCAGCATCTACAAAAGAAGAAAATCCCAACCTTTCATTTATATTCTCATATTTGATTAGTTCGCTTCGATCATATAAAATGGCATTAGCTGCCCTTCAATTACTTCAAAATAATTTCCTATTTTAACTCCAAAATGCCCTTTTTGTAGTAAGCTAAATAATTGTGCAACATCATGAAAAATTTTTAGTTTCTGAGCTGTCATCCTATTAATTTATATAGCATGAACTCTAATTCTTGCACTAATCAATAGCACTAATATTTTTTTAGTTTTTGTTATTGTACCATATCAATAAAGCTAAGAACTTAAGGATGACTGAATTCTTAAGATTTCGGAATCCATAATGTTGCTAATCCACTACAATCCCAGGTGTCTACGATTACTCTTTTGCATTTATTCTTTAGCAGCCTCTGATTTAGAAACAATCTCAGGCTTCAATTTCAGATCCTAATTGTGCAGCTTCCGTATGGCATTTACATACATAACACCCGGTTCCTATGTATTTATATATCTAACACCTAAACTTTAATTTTTACATTTATAACACTCAAATCTTTCATATCACATCAAAAACACCATCATTTTAACTTTTAAAAAGCGAATGGGCCATTTAAAGCATAGGCAAGGTGGCATGCATGTAAAAATTGTAGTTTAGGTGTTAGGTATGTATATACATAAGAATTGAGTGGTATGTATGAAAATCTTCATAAAAACTGTGTGACTACTACGGTCTTTTAGTATTCCTGTGAACGAGTATGTTTCAAAACTTTGAAAGCTAAGGCTAAACCCTACTAGAGGTCTCAATATTCAACTAGAAACCAAAAACTAACTCAAATTAAGCATGAAAAGAATTGAGGGGCAGGTCAGCTATCTTCGTGATGATCATTTTTGGATCAAACTAAACCCGACCGACAAGCTTCAATTGACACCTCTAGACCATAATACTTATGTGTAATGAGTATTGAAGCTTGTGTTTTAATATTAGATCTATGTGGATTCTAAGGAGTTTCATGTTTTGGATCATTTCAGGCTACACACTGAACTTTTCAAGGATATATAAGATAAGAAAATATTGAGTATAACAATAATCCTTTAGCCCACTAAGTGGGGTCAGTCCATTGTGTCATATTGACTGCCATATTTTAATTAAATTCCATTAAATTAGGATCATTTTTTATACAACATGCCAAATTTTTTTTAGGTCCATCTCTATCTTTCTTAACATAACTCTAGATGTTGTACCTGCCGTTTCATGTATATCATGTGAGTGAAGTTATGATTTACCAGTCTATTGATTTGGTACCCTAAATGTGCTAATTTAATATGTATTTTTAGCAACCTTGTAGGTTTATACTTCAATACCTCTAGAATTGGTTGCACATTACATATTCTCAATACAAAATAAGTATGCGGGGAGTTATTGTGCAAAAATTGCCCTTTAGGTATAAGTATGGATCCAACTTTAGATTTTATATAACTTGTGGGGTAGAGGGAGATAAGAGTATAGGAGAATTTTAATAATAGGTAGAGATCTTAAATCTCAGCACCGAAAAATTCTGAAGGGTGTCAATAGGGTTAGTAACTCGCTATTACTTGATTTATAACTCTATTATTACCTAATCGATACAATTTTTCATAAGTTCGTATTGCGAGCAATGAATATTTATAAAATTTAACATCTCAAATTTCGTCCCTACTCGGTAAAAGGAATTAATTCTTATATAGTATTGATTGAAGTACATGTTTTTATGAAGAGTTAGGAAGTAATTCAAAATTTAACTTAGGATAGAGTCATTATTCAAAATCATTAGAAAAAGGTTTAGCTAAATATATTAATCATCTTAGAAAATGAAAAAGAAACAAAAGAAAGAGAAAATAGAAAAAGGTTCATGCTTAAAATGGAAAAAAATTATTGAACCTAAGAGGAGAAGCTTAATTAAGCTCAAATTAAAAATTGGTACTAATAAGTCAAAAGATTAAAAACTTTACTAAGTTAACCTTGAAATTTCGTATTCAACATAATAGTAACAAAATTAACACTCTTTATGTGCGTAGCTAACAAAATTTTATGCATGAAGCATTAATTTCATGACCTTCTAACCTCACATAAGTAATTTAAGATGATTGTTGGCATCATTTTTTTTTTGTCACGTGTGTGGGATGTTCACCTGAGCGAGTCAGAGTAACACTTCGTGCATATATGTTTCTCGTAGCTCGAGACATCCGGTTGAGACTTTTTAGCATGTGTTGAGGGGCACATTGCCTAGGTCATTTCGCTAGACTCTGGCTCTCGCTTAGGCGAAAACCGGTTATCATGTCACTTGTCGGGTGGTTTCGGTCGGGCTAGTAGGTCACATTCGTTGAATCGCGCGAAAGTAGCTCAAATTGGCCCGTTTACCAACGAGTTTATTCAGACAACTCTGAATGATGAAATAGACCACGTGAGTGTGTCCAAAATATCAATTTCACCTAGGAAGGACATACATTTCGCCACGACTTCGCGGGGGGCCTAAAAATGTACAAATTATCATTTTGGGTTTGATCGTTGAAAAGGTTATCTGAAACGACCCCGGATGACGAAACCGACCACACCAGTGAGTTCGGAACATCGATTTCACTTAAGAATGACATTCATTTTACTGCGAGGGCATGTTAGATCAAAAATGTGCAAAATGTAATAATAATAATTATTATTATTATTATTATTATTATTATAAAGATTGTTTTTTCTTAAACCCACACTCCAATCTCTCTCCCTTATCTTCTTATCGCACGCGACTCCCAGCCGCACCCGCCTGTTCGCGGACCCTAGCCAACGCTCGCCACACCTCACGCCGTCGGATCTCCCTCCTCGCCAGGGACTCCTCAAGCGCCGACAACCTTATCCTAGCGGCCTAGCTTTCGGCCGCCGACGAAACTCGCGCCATCCTCCCTCGCGGGCTTCTTCTTCCTCTCGGTCGCGCTCCATTCGCCGGCCACCTCGCCGATGTGAAGCTTGACGCCGCTGGAGTTCCTGTCTTTGCTGAGGCTAA